ATGATGGGATAGAAAACAACAAAGTTGAGTTTTTTGTTTTTACAACTTAATTAAAAAGGATTCTATATTTGGTTAATTGGCCAATGGTATTATCTGTTGAGTTGGCTAAATTGGTGATGGGGAAAAGCTGGTTAAATATTTTACTTCTCTCTTCAATGGAGATTATTGATTTCTCTTGTTTCAATCTGAACCCCATATCAGTTGAGAATGAATCTGAATTGAGAAAGAAGCCACTATATAAAGTGTGACTATTATATAATTGTTAAACATTTATCTGTGTGTAATACTTATTTATATTAAATACATGCACATTCATCTGTCATATCTTTTTGTCACCTCTATAATAACACATCTCTCATATATATATATATATATATATATATATATATATATATATATATATATATATATATATATATATATATATATGCACACAGTGTGATCAAAGGACACATATTTGGTAAAATAGTTTAATTAAAGGAAGAATTGTAGTGAGTAACACTCAGGTTTGGAAGTTGTCAGATAATTTTGAAATAAGGAAAACTTGTTGCTTGTTTATGTCTAATTTCCTGAGTAACATGAAAACTCTCAACCAGGTTGAACAGTGATGAGTTGTTTTTCTACTCCTGCTCATGGCAGGCTCAATAAGAATCGAATAAAGAATGTATAAACATTACAATCTTAAAATCTTTATTGAAATTTTTTTGTTGGAGTACATTTTTCTTTAAGTTTGTTAAGTGATCACGATTTTTATTGGGCCTGACCAAAAGTCCATAGTGTTTTTAAGTGATTCTGAAAGACAATGTTTAGATATTTGTACATAGATTTATTAACCCACTAACTTTTGATACATTTCAGGTAGCTTCATGATTCCATCCTCTCTGAATTTGGTATCTTTCTGGGTGATGGAATGGTGTAAGTGTAGTGTAATTCTAGAGAATTGAAGTTCTTCCCATTAAGAGTATTTTGTAGAGACTGAAATAAATGGCAATGCAATGTTAGTTAAATATGGTGAATGCAGGAGGACATCCTGGCCAAACTGTACCAATTTCTGGTGGCTTTGTGAGATCTGATTTTGTCTCACTGGAAGATGACACCCTTCCAATTGGCCAATTCTGGACACTTTTCACAGAATTTAATTGGTAATTTAAATTTAATTGGTTCACTTGCAAATAGCACTTGTTTGAATTCAATGTCTGATTTTGTGGAAGGAGTTTGTAATACACAATGACCTTCCAATCCAACCATATAGAATCACCTTCAGATGCCGACTGACTTTTGGAACAGTGCTTAATAGTTGTTCATTTCATTTTTTTCACAAGACTTTTTAGATTTGCATTGTTGTAAATTTTTCATCACCTGTGATTGTTCTTTTCAAATGTGGTCCATTAAATTTTTATACAGTAAATTTTGAGACATCCAAACATCATAGTGATTCACATATGCCAGATTTTACAACATTCATGAGAAATATGTGGAGTATCTCTATGATGTCATGTGATGTGGATTATTTTTAAGTATATATAAATATAATATAGATATTTAATAAGTGAACATTGAAGTCAACATTCAGTGGTGACAGACTGTATTTAGCATGAAACAGTCTGTCGCCTCTGAGTGTTGACTTCAAGGTTCACTTTTATATTTACATACACTCTGTGATATTTACATACACTCGATGTGATATTGAGCACTTTATCCCATAAATATAGCACACATTAAAAATATATTTTTCCATATATATATATATATATATATATATATATATATAACATTATAAATTAACTAATTAAAATGTTTTTTTTTTATACATAGTAATAACCATGTTTCAAAAATGGAAGCTAAAAACTTTAAATTTAATTATATAATTAAATTAAAAGCATTAGTTCCATTTCATCTTCAAGCGAATATTGGAGTTCCAATATTCGTGTGAAGATGAAATCCCCCCCCACACCTACCTACAATATTTTTATGTTCTACCACATATGATTTCCCTCATGACACACAATTCAGTAATGGAAGTATTGCACTGTACACTGAGGGCTACTTACCAGTCACCCTCTTTACACCATCATTGAATCTATTACTATGGCTCCTTTACATATAAGCTTATGTAAGGAGTGCAGAAGTTTAGTGCAGATACATATTCATTTTGTACATGTATTTATATCTTTATGTGCATTGAGATTCATATGTTTGTGTGGTGACTTGTGTATATTTACACTCTCTTATGTGCACTTATGTACACATGTGCATCTATATATGTATATGCTTTTCCTCTCAGTTTTTCCTTTATTTTTGATTTTCTGTACTCCCTTTTTTGTTAGCAATAAATTTCCAAAATTTTTATCCATTTTTTTGTTCCTTCACTTTTTCTTTTCATTTTGTTTTATGGAATATTTTAATATTATATATTCCATTTTTTTCCTCATTTTTTTCATCACATCATATCCTAACCAAAGTCCATCTTTCTAAACTTGACAACTTGGTCCAACAATTTTGGCAACAATTTGTGACATGTGAGACATTATATATTTAAAGTATATTTTGATTGAGCACTGTTGAATGACAAGCTAATTCTACAAACAGCCACCTGTGTTAATGTGAAGCTCTTCGGTAAAATGAATGGAGCACTCCGGCTGTTTGACATTTGTAAAAACAATACACTAGATTTAGCTGCCTCATTCTGTCAAATGAGGATAGCTTAGTAGTAGAAACTCTGACTGACACCAAATCGTTTGGGTTTCCATCCTGGCTCAAGGCATCCGATTGTCTAGTTGCACTGAAGAGTTGTGATACAGCAAAACTACTGTCTGTGAATAAGATATATATATATATATATATATATATATATTTGTGTATTTAGGCAGCAATCCTTCTTTCATGCACATTTCATTGAAAACAACAGACAAGGTGCTTTTATTTAGTTTTTCATACAATTTCTCATGAGATCTAATAATCTTTTTCTTTTCGGATGATAAATTATATAAAAACTGTCCGAATGTTCTTTTTATCCAAGCGCTTTTGGCTATACATTTAGCCATTTTCAAGGATTAAATATTTTAACTGTTAAAATAAGAAATAGTTTGGTGTATGTATGTTTTATAAAATGTTTTCTTTTTTTTTTTTTTTGTTTCAAAACATGGTCAAGATATTATGTCCATGTTCAAAGTTAATATTATTAAGTGTTAGTTTTTTTGTTTTTATTAATAAGGCTTCCATTATTTTTAGCCTTTTTTTGCATGTAGATGATGCTATTATATTAGTATTGTTGACAAGTATGTTCTGAATAGTGTCCGGTAGGTCTCTATGAATATTTAAATGAGATCTAATTGAGCTATTGTCAGAAAGGTGTAGAGTTAGTCTGTGTGTCAAACATGTTGTAGTGTGGCCTATATAATTATTTACGAATTTTGATTGATCAGAAATACAATTCCTTAATGGGCATTTAAATTCGTAAATAATATTTGCCCTTTTTAATTTTGTTCTAGGAGGTGAATTATTATTTTTAACTATAAGGTTAGAGGTTTTAAATTTTTATAAAAAATTTAAAACCTCTAACTTTATAGTTATTTATAAAATATATATATATATATATATATATATATATATATATATATATATATATATATATATATTAAGACATGTTTCATTGAACAGTTTAGACATGTTCTGTCTACTTATTTTCGATAAGATCCTTTCATATTCATGGATAAGCTTTTTGGTGTCATTGAAGGATGAGAGAAAATTGCCATGTTGATACATATTTCTTTTATTTCCAAGTTCTTTCGACAAATCCGTCATCATCAGGGCATTGTTTATTACAAAATAAATATTGTAGTATTCATTATTTAAATGGTTTAAGCAGTCACGCACTGACACAGCATTCCTCACTCCATTTGTAAGAAATTTAACTTTCAGATAACAACATTTTGTCTCTCTTACTTAAATTTAATATAATTTATCTAAATATGACTGACTTACATTTAATCTTTTTAATATATCTTATATTTAAATATAATTTATTATTTTTTTAAGTAGGAACCATAAATTTGTTATAATTTTATAAAACCTCTTCCCTTTAAGGCTAATAGCTTCCACTCTCCCCTAACCACCATCTTGGGCATTTCGCCTGAGTGAAACATTGAAATGAATAATTTCTGTATCAATTTTTTTGATGGTTGTCAAAGTTAAATCTCTAATTCTGATACAGACACAGTTTATACGTGGGTGTTGAATAAGACTGACATAATTTTGTTGGTTAAAATAGATGTATACCCCCCAACCACCATATGAGGTAATTTTAGATTTTGTTGTGTAATATATATATATATATATATATATATATATATATATATATACACACACTAATATTTTTATATATATATATTATATATATATATATATATACACACACACTAATTTTTTATATATATATATATATATACACACATACACACACTTTTTATATATATATATATATATAGTGTTTCTGAATATCTAAGCTTAGCAATGAGTCACAATATTTGGCCATCTCTTGGCTATGTTACTCTCTACATAAACTAAATCTATTTGCTAACTCTTCCTCTGCAACTGCTGTTCATTGTAGATATTTACTAAATTTAATATTAGTCGGTATTCACTTTGTGGATGGATATTACTACATTAAAAATAGTCTCTCAGATTAATTCATTAAAATTTTTCTGTCATGGACACCTTCATCTCTTTTGTTTGTGTTCATGTATTCAAATCATGTAGCTGTTTTTTGTTTTGTTTTTTTTTTGTTCTTTGGTCAGACCTGCCTGTTAAGTTTGTTGAACACCAATGAAATAACTTCCTATACTATATTTCAATTATTTCATTCTACTCTTGATTCTCTCATCTGTTCAGTTCTGTGATCAAGCTGTAAACATCATTTAATTACACTTTAACTATTATCCTTAATTTGCTGATGTTTCTAAATAATTCATAATTTTGTCCTGTTTCTTTTCATTTGTCAGCAACCAATGCCAAGTGGAAAAATTGAAAAGGAAATGAAGTCTCGTCAGGAAAACAGGAAGGAATTACAACATGAAAACTGGGACAGAAGGGTTGTTGATGCTGAAAAATTGATCCTGAATTTTAAAATTGATCAAGAACAGGCCAAAATGCGAATCTCTCCCTCTTCATCACCACGTAATGCAAAGAAATCTTCAAATGTGTTCTCAAAGAGGAAAAAGACCATATCACAGACTACAACAAGGCTTCCATTGCAGGAGAAAAATTTTACATCTACTCGGACCATTACTCACTCTGCGTTTTTCAGAGAGCAGCAGAAAGCAGAAAACTTTGAGCTTGCTGAGATGAGAGATTTAGATCTGGAGTCAACAGAATATGACTTCATGAATATTGAGCACCCTCGTTCTGATATACCTCAGCCAAATTTGCAGTTAACGTGTACTTCAGACCCGGTCCTAGCTCATGCTGACCATTGTGGTTCTCCTTCAAAGGAAATTCAGAAGACAAATCCTGCCCAGCGGCCATATCAGGAGATTGTCCGCCTACAACGACCTGAAATAACACGGAAAGCTTTGGTCAAAGACCAGAAGCCATATGTAGAAAGGCTGAAAGAAATTACAAAAAAAAATCTCCAATCTCCACGATCCATCGACAAGCAGAAGCTTTATGGTGAGTTTTTTTTTCCTTAAATTCTATATTATTGCTTCATTTGAAAAAGGGCCATTTTTAACTTTCGATAAGAATTTTTTCAGGCACTCCATGTATTTAAATTAATCTTGATGATTTGTTCATGTTATTAATAAGAGAATTGAATTACTCTTTAGAAGCTGAGAAACTTGTTTTTTGTTTTAGCCTCTCTGTGCCTTTTCTATAAATATTTTCATGGCAATTGTTCTGATGAACTTTCCTCTTTGTTATTTTGACTTCATAAATTCTGCTCCAGGTTTAAAGTTGTAAGCGATTTGGAATTGCAAAGGAAATATTTGTCGCAGATTACTTCCACAATGCTCTTCCAAGTAATTTTCTTTTTCACCACATTTTCCATCGTATGATACATGCAATGCACTGTCGCTTGGTTTGATGAGGTAAGTCGCCGTTTTCTTTGCTATACTCCACCCTGATCTCATTATCATAAATCGAACAGCTTGGAACAGCTCTCTTTATCCTGGTGCTTCATCATAATGGAACTACCTCCCTTGCGCGTGTTAGAGAGTAGTCTCCTGAGGTGTCATCAGTAATATCTCGAGTTTTTGGAAACTCTGTGTCTGTGCAATCATTGGATTTGCAGATATCAATTATCTGATCACTGTCAGACGATGAACCATCATCGAATTTGCTCGGCGATGTATCAGAATCAATGAAAAGGCGAAGATCTTTTACATGCCATGGCATCTCGTCGACTATTATTGTTTGTGAACTTACAATGTCCGTCACACGACCCACTTGATACCTTGAGGTACACCGGCCATGGGGAGCTTTCACCCATACTCTGTTCCCAACTTTATATATATTGTGATACTTACAATGATCAGGTGGTAATGTTGTAGTAATTCCCTTCACTTTCAGTTGGTAACGGTGAATCATATTGGCAGGCGTATTAGTCGACGATATATCATCCTTCAGCATGATATTATGCCAGTATACTGCCTCCATTATCGAACACTGCTTTCTTGCTGCAATTCTCTTTATGCTCCGATAAGATCTTTCCACTATACCGTTTCCTGCAGGAACATAGGCTCAGTGAAAACGAAGTTGGACTCCTCAGTCATCCAAGAAATCTTTAAAGGACTTACTGCAAAATACAGTGTCATTGTCAGTCAGATTTCTGATGGTGAGCCTCGTTCAAAAAAAAAAAAAAAATACTTTCCAACTATCAAATGACACTTCTTGAGTCTTGTTGAAACGGGCATCACCATATCGCAAATCGACTGGGGTCACAATCAATTAACGTAAGGTAGTGTTGCCCACTGTAATGCATAATATCCATTCCTAAGCAGGTCCAGATTTCAGTCACACTTAGTGGCCAACGACTTGAGGCTGGGTCAATTGACTGGCATTCTTTACATTTTCTGACCACTGCCTTGACAGCCACCTTGGATGCCGTAGGGTAAACTCGTCTCACAAAATACAGCGTTCGCCTGATGCCAGGATGTCCACTCTGGCAGTGTATGGCATGTATCTGTTCAGGAGAGGTTTCGTTCACCATGGAAGCGTATATCGGGCATGTTGGTCCAATTTCCTTCTTGATCAAATCATACCATCGTTGCGATACTCTGGTGAGCTTATCCGCTTGACGTTACTAAACTTATCGTGATCAATAAGTTATACTCTTGAATCAGCTTTTCAAGAGTACTCAAATGCCTCCGGATCAGCATCTCACTTGCCGCCTTAGTTTGTATTCTGGCTTTGTTAGCTTGATACCCACCGGTGCACACACGGGGAGTCCGTGAAGATGTGTAGCTCCGTTGCGCCCCACTGTAATGCTAAATTGACTCCCTTCAGAATAGCATCCAATTCTGATAAATTGATATGTTGGGCATCCTTTGCAGGCTGCAGCCAACATGCATCTTCTACAACGCTTCCATCAACCTCCAATGAAACCCCTGTGGCGAGAGAACTTGCATCGACCCATACCTCATAAGCGTGTTCGCTTGTGCACCACTTACCGTGTGCAGGGTCATTCTGGCATATTCTTTCCACTATGTCCTCAACCATGTTCTTAAGGGGAGCGTCTGTCACTTCGTCGTCCAAGCCAGACGTGATTGATACTGTCCTATGTTTTACAAATGATGCAGCAACACAAAGCCACCCACACACAGGGATGTGACCCACCAGTTTTCCACACCACGAGAAGACGTTACGTCGCGTCAGGACATCAGGAACTGATGGAATGCCATTTTCACGTTTCCACTTAAGCGTGTTGTTACCTTGCTCGACATGCAAACCCAGCATACGTGTGCCGTCCTGTAACTGCTCCGGATCCTTGCAGGTCAAACCAAACGCATACAAGTGCTCCTTCATGCGAGCTGCTGAAATCATGCTCTCCTCAACATAAATATCATCAATATATGATGAGGTTGCCCGTCAAACTGACTCGTCTTTCGACAACGCGACGTCCACAATAGCCTTCATTGTGGCTGGTGCAACATTCAACCTGAAACGCATTCAGGTCAAGCGATATCTTCGCCCCTTGAAGATTACAGTTTGAAAGGGCCAAAGTGACTAATAGATATGTACTTGTAGATAGGTCTGCCGTAGGTCAAGGATAGCGACATCCATTCCTTTTTTACGCCACTCCTTCATTTTCTGTGTGCACACGTCAGCATTGGCTGCGTGTGCGTCGAGACACTCATTCAGCTCTCAATAGTCTAATTCTGGCTGCACTTTATTTTTGTTTTCTGCATCACTGCCATCAACGGAATTAAACCTTTTGGAGGACCAAGTTCCTTTTCAAGATAAGGCTGCAACCAACCGTTATCAAGCCAGGTCTGCAGCTCACAGTCATATTCCTCCTTGACTCCCGTTGGTATTAGGTACTCGGGCATCCGATTTCGCAAACTCTCCAGTGATCAACCATCAGATCACTTCCATGATGCGACCCATATCTTCTGGTTTGGGTCGAATTTGGCACAGAAATCAGGTTCTTCTATTTTAATAGCGGTGGAACAGACTATCCCACGCTTGGGAAACCGTACATCGCCACACTGTGTTATTTGGAGTCCACCCAACTTTTTAATGGCATCAAACCCAAGCAACAAGTCAAAACCGAGTAGCTTTTCATCCATTACCAAGACTTCAATTTTGAGGGGGTTTGCGTTGTCCACGTCGAGCTTAATACTTCCAAATCCGCAACATTGAGAGTATTTCCTTTTACGGTGAGTACGTTCACCTCCGTCACCCGCCAGGATTGACAGGATGACTTACTCACGAGTGTCTGTGAGCAGACAGTGTCCACCAGTGACACTCTTAATTCCATTCACATAAATACCCAAGACGAGTAGCACTTCATTCATAACTTGCTTTGGGAAGAGACCGGCGTTGACGTCAAGTCCTCTTCCTCTTTTCCCCGGACACAATGAAGCAATGTGGCCTACTTTTTGACACCGGAAGTGATGCATTGTTGTGCGTGACCTGTGTGACTGAAAAGGTGATTCCACCCAGAGCATTGATAGCATTGCATACCCTACCGACGTTTAACATGTGGATGTTTGTCAGCTCCGCCTGGTGAAATAGTAGCTGCAACCATTTCCTCAGTTGCAATTTGATCTTTCATCATGGCCCAAACTCGGTCCAACAGTTGGTTTGTATTCATGTCTTCCATCCTGGAAGATGCACGCAGTAGTTGCTTGATGTGCACTGGTAACCCTACTATGAACCCACATGCTAGTCCTTGCTCGGATATCCCGCCAAATAGACCTGCTAGCTTCTTCAAGTTGACTAGAAACATGTTGACGGATTCGTCCGGGCGTAGTCAGCGTTCCACGAAATGCTCGTAAGCCAAGAAATGATCCGGTGCAAAGGCTATCTGCAGTGCTCATTTTATCTGCTCGACATCTGATTTTTGCTTTGAGTTTAACTGCTGGTAAACAGCAAATGCTCCGACCCTTAACCTCAGAGGAAGAACACGTTCAACCTTTTTAATTCCACACAGGTCACAAACAAGTTCAGCCTTCTCAATCCATTCAGTAACTGTCCAGTCACTGAACCATCAAACTCGAGTATCAACTTGACGTCAAATGCCTTGTCCGTCATAGTGCCGAAATAGCTTTTAAGCAATCTGGAATTGCAAAGGAAATATTTGTTGCAGATTACTTCCACAATGCATAGAATAAATCACTAAGTTCAGACTCGAACATCGGGGGCAGAAAGTACCTGCGAATCGAGTTTTCAGCATTTCTATCTCACACAACCATTCAAAAAAAATAACCCGCTCTCCAACAAACGTGTTAGCCAAAATACCTGAAGTTTCTCCCCGATTTGAGAACACCAACTGCTTTTATCGGCCAAGCATTTTCTCCATTCGTTGACAACTGGGAGAGAACGCTCAATTTTTACATATCAAAATACTTTTATAGTGACTACTGCGACGGACTTGTTTTTTAATTTAAATATTCCGTCTTCAGCATGTCATGCAGAATATGTGCCCTTTTTTTCGGCAAGTAATTTTCTTTTTTGCCACATTTTCCGTTGTACGATACACGCAACGCACTGTCACTTGGTTTGCTGAGGTAAGTCGACATCTTCTTCGCTATCAAAGTTGAATAAATAAATCTTAAACTGCCTCTATCTGAAAAACAAAATATATTCTGAGGGTGCATTATCAGTATTAAACATTATCTTAGCATTATCTTATGTTAAACATTTCCCTTTTACAGTTAAATCAAGATATCTGTTTCAGGTTTAAAGTTGAATTAAGAAATCTTAAACTGTCTCCATCTGAAAAAGAAGATAAAACAATAATCATAGTTGCAAAGTAGCAATAACTAAGTTTAAACCCAATATACACAGAGATACTTTTGTTTTTTTATTTATTGTTACACACTGACTACACCAACAAACTAAATATTTCTACTACTGAAGGAAGGAATTTAATTATTAAACACTAAATTTAGCAATTTCTTTTCCCTAAAATTTGTTCTTGCAAGTTTTGTCACTCACTCTCTATGTTGTACATTGAGAATGAAGTGAAAAGGGATTGTCATTGATCAGGAACTGCTGCAAATGTTACTAACAGAATAATTATTGTATGTTGTAAGTGTTCTGAAAGCAAAGGAAATGTTTGTCGCAGATTAATTCTACAATGCAGAGAACAAATCACTGTAAGTTCAGACTCGAATATCAGGGGTAGAAAGAAATGCTGAAAACTTGATTCACAGGTACAACTCACAAATCCCAATGCACGTAACCAGTCAGAAAAATAACTCACTCTCTGACAAATGTGGTAGCCAAAATACATCAATTTTTCCCTCCTGATTCAAGAACACCAACTGCTCTTATTGGGCATTTTTTTCATTTGTTCTGGCCTTCTTCAGGTGGTTGGAATTTCGAACTGAACCCTTTATTTCGCTCACTGGGGTAGACTGTTCTAGTTCCACGTGCCATGTTTGATGGATGTCAGTTATCAGTTATCTCCTGCTAATTTTCCCTCTGAAAGTTCTCCACTGTCTTTACCGGGTATTGAACTCACACTCTTTGGGTCTGTCATTGGTTCTAACCAACGCCTTTATCCACTGTGCCATGTGTCCTTGAGGACATCTGGGTATTATAAACCTAATGTTTTCAGCAACCATTTTTTACCAGTGCTCATATTGCAATTTTTGCTGTTATCATTGCATGTTTTTTTTTTTTTTTTTTTTTTTTACCAGAGCTCATATTGCAACTTTGCTTGATGAAAGCAAAAGAAACAGAAAGGACAATAAAAGAACAGGATTCAAAGAGAAGGCTATCAATGAATTTTTAAAGATATTAGGATGTCAAAAGTGTACAAATTTCTTAATCCATTTTTTTTTTTTCAAAAATATTTTTCAGAAGGCAAAAAAATGCCAACTGTTCAGGCAGAAACTCTTGTCATTCAACGTGAAGTTAAAAGTTACTCTGAACGCCTGCAGGAGATAAAGAGATGTGCTAAGAGGGATGAGAGTACACCAATTGTTCCCCAACAGCTATGTAAACCTCCAAATGGTAAAGACAACACTCTTCTAAAATTTGTTGGCCATTAGAAAAAGATTAGCCAATTGCAACATTTACAGTCAAATTAGTACAGGTCTTTAATCTTATCCAAACTGAAATGGAATAATGCAAAAAACCAGTTACCATTGATTTATCATTGGGGGAACATTTCCAATAAAAGACAAATGGAAAATGATTTCATTGGGGTGTGGCTATCCAGACCTGAGATTTTTCACAGTTTATGTGTCTGCTTATCTTTGAATCAATTTTAAATTTCTGCCAAAATTTTTTCTGTTCACTTTTTATTAACATCATTGGTGGAAAAGGCATGGACCCACTTTTTTCTGTGCTCTGTCTCATCACTGTATGCCACTTTGCCTTTATATAAATGTGACATCCTCTGGTGGTTGCAGCACCAATATGTGACACTGCACTGTTGGCCCATGGTCAACTCCCAGTTGTGGTGTGAAGCTGTAAGGTTTCTTCCACCAGCGTTTGGGGTTGACTCTTTGTTGTTGCCACCAGCCTGTGTTCTGGTCAATCTGGTCGTTCCCGGTTCGAAATCAGCTTTGTTGTTCCCAGCTCACTTCCAACATCTGGTTACCGAAGTAACTACTTTGAAATCAAAGTCTAACCTACCCACATTGTGACTTTAATCTTAGGGAGACGAAATCAATCAGGCGTCTGGCCGTAGTGCAAGCTGAATCTGGGGTAAGGTGATATCGCACAAGTGTAAGTAAAAGAAGCAATAAAACAAAACTCAAGAGGTTCAAATATGTTGAGAAATAACAAATTATCTTTATCCGTCTGTTATATACAGGAGTGTTTCTCTCTCCCAGCCCGTTTCTATCGATTTGTGACACTTTTGCGTTTCTTAAGCGAGTTTTGGTATCTTAAGTCATTCGTCAATATAACTTGCTTTTGGTAGGAAGGCGAGGTCGAAAGGATGTAGAATCTCCCGGTCAGCTTCTGCAAGACAACACTCAGACTCTGTCCGGAACTGAACTCCAACTGAAACTGCCTGGAGACGTTCGTTTATATGGATACCGACCAAAACCCGGTGTGGGGCCTGACGTGGTTTGGGTTCATCGATAATTCTCAATTCCCAACAAGAATTCTCTTTGTTCTTAGGCCAGGAAAATGAATTACTTCCCATTTTTTGAATATTAATCACTTTCCATTTCGGGGGTTTCTCCCTTGTCTGTGAGGGAAGGTCAGAGGAGAGTTATCCTCCTAGACTCTTCCTCTCTCACATTGGTATCTCATACCAATCCCCTCAGTGGGTGTTAACAACTTCTCCGCCTTTCTCATACATTCAGCTCCACCTATCACCCATGCTACCACTTGACCAATGATCTCTCGGCAGTGTGGGTGTGGCTATACTGGCCCTCTTAAAATTTTTATCCAGAATTTTGTTTACAAAATCCTTTTTTTCATTGGCCAAAACATTTTTTTTTCACAAACCCCAGATTGCCAAAGAATTCTTATCACATCTTTCTTTTGGGGACACCCAAAATTCACTTAATTAGGTCTCTCTACCGACTCATCAATGACTGTCAAAACCCGACATCTGGCTTCTCTTTTAACTGGGGGTCTGTGTTTACCTGAGAATCAAATTCTTTATTTTTCTCATGCCTTAAAATCCTCTTATCACCAAATGCCCATTTTCGATGATGCTGTGTCTGATGTCAACAGTTTGAAAAAGTAATAATAATAATTTCCCCCACAATTTTCTTCCTCTAACACATAACAGATGATTTCCCTTCGTTGAACCCAGGAATCAAAATTAAATGATATCTCTGAAAGATAACTAATATCGATTCTCTCTGCCTGTATCGCAGTCGTCTCAAGCCGAAATTTTTTATGACCGCCATATGTCGTCTGGCTTTGTTTTTCTTTCTGAATTCTGTTTCCCTTGGCACGTCATTCCCTTAACATGCCATTAATCAGTTTTGATAGAATCTCATATCTTGTTTTTTCTTATGGATTTTTTGTCTTGTGCGAAAAGTATCTTTCTTCGTAAATAAAACAAAATCTTCTTTTTAACATCGCTCAGTCTATCTTTCGATATAGCTCTTTCTCACCTTAAGTCTTTCCTGTTTTTAATTTCTATGGTTAATTAGTTAGCCAATTACCGTAGCTAAATAGTGTCACATAAATATGTATATTAGCTCAGGTTTAAATGGAAGATTGAGATTTGTTTCATTTTTTTTATTTATGGTTTATCAACCCTTCATGTGTTATTTAAAGTATATTTATATATTTATGATTGTAGGAGGTTGCTTACAGTAGTCGGCGTTCCAAATTGGTCCCTCCTCTAAGTACTGACTGGGCTTGACACTGGTGTTTTCAGTGTGATTTGACTGTAGACCTTAAAATGGCATCGAGAGGAAATAACAATTAATTTCTATGGAAAACCTGTTTGAGCATCTCCATCTCTCCCAAAAATAATTTTTGTCTGTCTGCCTTGATGTTGAAGGTCAAGATCTGTTGTATGCTTGATTGGCTTAGCCTCACACATTTTTTATAGGTACTCAAAAAATCCTGCAAACTTGCCCTAACCCTAAACACTCTGTTCAAAATGAAAATCCTATTTTTCTGATATTGATGCAGCACTGTCACAGCAAATGTCTCATACAAAGTTACTTTTTGAAATCTGGAAATTTTAAGTTTTTTTCTTCATAAATTAATGACAATTGCTTCCTTGCTTTACACCATTTTGGCAGATAAAAAGTTTAATAAAAATGCTTTACTTTTGGATAGTGAGAGGAAACACATATCTATATCTGTGTGCTATTCTTTTATACAATGTTTAAAATATTGGCATTTGATTAATAATAATGATTCTTGGTTGTTATGCATTATTTCAACAGCTGTTCAAATTATTGAACTCCTTCAGTTTTGTCATTGTATATCACTATATCATTATATAATACCCTTTTCTAGAAAAAGAGTGTGCATACCTAAAGACGGCTGGAGTATGGCATCAGCCAAAATATGGTAACTATAAAAGCAATCACAAGAAGAATGAGTTCCATAAGCTAGACAAATCTTGGATTGATAATAACTCTTCATGAAAATACAGAATGGTAGTCATAACATAGAGAAAAATATAATATCAATATCTAGTTGATGAATTAGCATATTATCTCATTACTGACATGTCACAGTGATTGAAGAAGAGGGTAGATGTGTGAACACTTGGGCAAACCACTCTTCCACAATTACCTTACATGTCCAGTCAGTAGCAGCCAGTAGCTGTTAAGCCCATTGTCCATTTAGTATCATATCATTTATTACACTGTTTCTCAATCTTGAAATTTCAGAGACGTTAAACAAGTAAATGTTTGTAGAAAGCATTAAACTGTTATTTAACTCTCTGAAATTAATTATTTTCATTAATCCATGCATGTTTTAGATGAAGAGTTTCTTTGTTTTTGTTGATCATGTTTTGGTTGATTTGGTTTGCTTTTAACTTAGCTCACAATATGCATATTGTATTCAGTGACCTTTTGAATTTAATTCATTTTCACATTCTTAACTTGGACATACCAGTTTATGGAACTTGGTGCTCAAAAATATTTCTGACTTTCCATATGAAGAGTCAACCTAAGGTTTATTTTCAGATAAAAAGTGATATAATTTAACTCACTTTTCATCACTTGCTATTCCCTGTCCCAGCACTACCAAAAACAGTATCCTTGGTGTTGCACTTTGCTGTGTTATTGATCTTCACAGCCATCACATGTCGACATCAACATCCTGAGAATTAACCAGATCAGATTTATGGAGATTTCATCTGGTGGTGGTTGTAATTCCCACATAATTCAGGTGTAAAAACCAGTTCCCCAAAACAAACCAAGAAACTTTGTTGATAACTGACAACAGATTTAATGAGAACAAATAGAAGAAATTAAGAATAAGGAATTATTAATCTTTTCTGGAGGAAAAATTTTCTAGTATTTATTTGTAGTAAAATAAAGGACTTTGTTCCTGGCACTGTATTCTTGTCTATTTGTGTCTGTGTCTTCATTAGTAGCAGCAGATGGGCAAAGTTCAAAAATGGATCTCTTATTCCTGTTTTCTCTTTGACATTGATTTGTTGCATATTTTTTTGATAAGATTCATATGGGAATGTGTTTAGGTCAAACACTAAATTTGAATTTTGCTAACAATAGGGAATATATTAGACTAATAGTATTTTGTATAAACATTGCAGGAATTCTTCCTTGAAATTTTGGAAATTTCAGAAGATCATAAATCTTTGTCATGTTGCTCTGGAGGAAACTGGGTAGATTGGAGAAGATCTAGTCTTACTAAACCTTAATGAATTCTATTTAGTTTATTACATGTTCATACTTTTGTGGAGCCTTCTTTGAACTCATTTTATGGCTTTTAATCTTTATTTTTAATTAATTCTTTCTTTTCTTATTTGTTTCAATACTTAATTAGTTTCCTTAATTTTTTTCATGGTTTAATCTTTACCTCCTGCTTAAAGCTTTACATTGGGCATTCTCATGCAGTAAAACGTTGGATCAGGGTTACCACAAAATGAACGTGACATGATGTGTGTCGATTGTCTCTAAATTTGTATATTTGTCCTGGTAGCAGTTGATGCCATGAAGGCTTGATTTGATCAAATGGAACTATATACATAATTTGCTGGCAGATTTTAAAAATATTATTTAGCTGCAAAGAATAACAAAAGTTTTCACAAATTTTTACTTTTTAATTTATCATAAAAAATATTTTTAGCAATTTCTATTTGTTTTGGTTAGCTTCCATGCCAATTGCTGGAACTACAAAGATGTCACAAAAAATCCCCCGACACCAACCTGTACCTTATGTTGAACGTCTCCGTCAACTTTCTAACAGAGGAACATATACTGCACAAGGTCAGTATTTATGATAAAAATTAGGTGTCAACATTGCAAAGAAGCTCTTTTGTATTTTTTGTTAACAGGATTAAGCCTTTCTCTCTCTTTCTCATATATATATATATATATATATATATATATATATATATATTTCCTCACCAGTAGCACAATTCTGAGTTACATGCACAACACAAACTTCAGGTGTTGAATTAAAAAAAAAAAGAGTGAAACAAATGTATATTTATTAACATCAGCACTCAATGTGCTATATATATATATATATATATATATATATATATATATATGAGATAAGGTTATTTATTTTTATATATCAAGAACAGTATTGAGGAAATTGTGAGACAAAATGGAAAATGTTTAATTGTGATGTATTTCATCCATTAGAAGTTCATCGGACTGGTTTTGTTGACATTGTTATGACTACACATATGCATGAATGAGAGGTGCTGGCAGTCTCAAACCCATGAATAAAAAAACATATATTATTCTAGCTAGTAACTTTATCACAGCTACAACCGAAAACTTGAAGGATGAATTTATTCTATCAACTGCAAGGAATGCCAGAAAAAATATATTGGAGAAACTGCAAGAAATTTAAACAAAAGACTATATGAACACACAAAATGCATTGGTTGTTCACCGTAATGAAACTGAGTACAATTTTGACATAAAATAATGCTACTTTAATTAAAAGAGAAAACAATTCACTAAGATGAAAATATCTAGAAAATCACTAGTTCAGCCACAGTAAATTTGCGTTTGGTTTCTTAGAACATTTCACCATTCTTTACAGATTTTCTGTTATCACAATGTGGGAATATTTAATAACGAAGATGATAAAAAGAAAAAGAATATAAATGAATTTGGCTAGATTGCAAAAAAAATATTTCATAACAATGTCAACAAACCCAGTCTGATGAAGTCATAACAGATGAAACGCATCACAAGTAAACGTTTCCATTTTGTTTTTTATATATATATATATATATATATATACACACTGCATGCCAAATTATTATCGAGATAACTTTTTTTTATAATATTTCAAAAACCGTCCAATCAATTCACACAAAATTTTCACACAATTTTGGCAACACTGATCTGCGCAATGTAAACAAACTGACGCCATATTTGTTATCAGCATGGTGATTTGAGCATGCCAAATTATTAGAAAATTGTAAAAATTTAGTAAAAAGATGGGCCATAAAAGCAGTTTAAGTAATGCTAAAAAGAAAACTATCACCTCAGAACTCTCAAAAGGTAAATCTACCCTAGAAATTTCTAAAATGATAGGGAGATGTCATCAAACAGCGAAAGTGTTCACCACCGACCCTACACAAGTACGCAAAAGGGCAGATAAAGGCAAGCCAAGGGTTATTTCACGTTGTCTCATGTCACAACTTAAACGAGAGGCCACGAAGTACCCTGGACTTACCAGTCAAGAGCTTTTCTGTCACATTGGGGATCCTACTGTGTCTAAAAGTACTCGGTGTCAGTATCTGAGGGAAATAAATCAAACCTGTATCAAAGCCTCCGTTGACGAGAAATCACATTCAAAATCCATTGAAATGGCTCAAGGACAATATGAACATTGACTTCTCTGAAGTTTTGTTCACAGACGAAACTCGAGCAACACTTGATTGTCCAGATAGATGGTGCAAAGGCTGGGTAATGAACGGACAGAATCGCCATCAGCATTTGAGACGCCAACAAGGCGGTGGAGGCATAATGATCTGGGGTGGTATTATTGGAAAAACATTAGTGGGCCCATGGAGAGTACCAGATGGTGTCAAAATGACTGCTGATGCATACATAGCGTTTATGAAGGAGCATCTTGAACCGTGGATGAAAAGGCAAAGAGTTGCCTTCAGAAGAGCTATTGTTTTTATGCAAGATAATGCTCCCTCACATGCTGCTCACAAGACTACTGAATATTTGAAACAGTTAGGCTTCAAATGAAGTTGCCAGCAAATTCTCCAGATTTGAACCCAATCGAAAACCTTTGGAGCATCATGAAGCGAAGACTGTATGCCAACGGACGACAATTCAGGACCAACACTGAGTTGTGGGAAGCAATTCTTGACATATCTTGTGGCATTACAGCAGATGACATCCTACAATTAACAAATTCTATGGATCGTCAACTTCTTCAAGTAATTTCAAAACACGGAAAGCACATTCCCTATTAATTTGTTTAAAACTGTGCCTTTGTATCTGTTATTATTTGTTTGATTATCTTATTTATTAGCTTCTTTTGATCATAAACATTCATGTGCAACATTAATAAACGTTTTGTGTGCTCAATTCTGGAATTTTTACTAAACCTTTCTAATAATTTGGCACGCTCAAATCACCGTACTGATAACAAATATGGCGCCAGTTTGTTTACATTGCACAGATCAGTGTTGCCAACGTTGTGTGAAAATTTTGTGTGAATTGATTGGACAGTTTTTGAAAAAAAAGTTATCTCAATAATAATTTGGCACACAGTGTATATATAAAACATTTTTGTAATGTACAAAATATATTGTCTTACGTTTGTAACATCTCTTAGTCATGTGATGAGAGTCTGCTTAAATTTATAGGCATTCCATGAGAAAGTTGATGTATGGATGGCTAAAAATGTTAAAACCTGAAATGATCAACAATGCCAAAAGTATATTTGCAATGTTAAAACACTGGTGTGTGTGTGTGTGTGTGTGTGTGTGTGTGTGTGTGTGTGGAGGAGTGATCAAATGAAGCTACAGACACGGTTTGTTAGCAGAGTGTTGTCCAAGCTAAGGATGGAGAGAATGGTGTTTAGGTTTGCAAAGACCACAAGTAAAATTGTATTCTTGTCTTGATGGGGTGTGACAAGTGTAGATATGCCCCCCTCTTGGCAGGGTGTGACACGTGCACAGATATGCCCCTCTTGGCAGGGTGTGACACGTGCACAGATATGTTCCTCTCAGTGGACATGACATGGACAGATCTGCTTGCCTCAGTGTTTCTCAGTGGCAATGGTTTGTTTCAGCAAGTTAACACAACCTCTCCTTTGTTGTTTGTGGATGACATGGCTGATTTCCAAATACTCCATTGCTATCCCCGCCCCATATGAGCATATCTGGGACATGTTGCAATACTTACTAATTTCCCTGCAACCACACCCAATAGTTAGAACTTTGTTATAGACAACCTTGGAATATGCTTGGGTAGATATATGCATTCAACAACTCTAGCACCCTGTTGCATGTTTGCCTTTATTCAAATGAAGAAACAAGCTATGTGTTATTAGGTTTGCTATTTTGGGGGCATTTTAGTTAACTTTTCAGAAAAATAGGATGATTTATTGTTGAAGTTTATGATTATTTTCAACTTTCTATTGTTCCTAATTTATAATAAATAATTTTACTGCAGGATGTCATAACTCCATTTCATTTTTTTTTTTTTTTTTTTGTTGATGATCTAGAGAGGAATTATTATTATAAATCATTTGCAATTTCAATTACTCTAATAAAATAATTTGTGACAATTTTCTTTTATGTTTCCAGTTGATTTCTAATGCATTTTTATAAATCAAAATTAAACACAAAAATATATAAGGCAAAGTGTTTTTAACTTTTTCTGCAGATCGCTTGCCTATGACAACAATTACCCTAAAGCGAACCCCAACTCAGCGGCGCCATACAGGTCCCCCTCATAAGCCAAAGACATATGTACAACAGTTACAAGCAGTGAATGCAGCTGCCAAGTTTAAACAAGGTGAGTCGAGATTTATTTCTCCTCAGATTAATTTATTTTGGGATCATTAAATGGGATCAATGTATAGTATCAGTTCTTTTCAGTTGTCTTCCTCACTCCAGTCAACAGCTGAAATCTGATGAAAGGAAGGGTATTTCTATTTTTATTTTTGATCATATAAATAATCGGGATGCTGAAGGTAATACCAATCAGCTAAGTGACAAACTTTATATTTGTATTATATATATATATATAAAAGATATAATAATGGACTCTCTCGTCGGTTTTCAACGTATGAGGATCTGACAGCTTATTCATTCAGTCATGAAAGTTTGTGCGATAATCTTAAGTGGCATTTAAGACCCGCTAGTGATTTACAAAGGATGCCACATATGGAGCAAGTGTGAGGATTGTGAGATGAGATCACTCTTAGATTAGGTGACCTTTTAGATCTTGCTCTCGCTTCTTGAAGATGATTCAGACAAGCAGATTGAAAATGGCCGAGTCCACTAAAACACGTTGATCTCCAGTCTACCTGCTCCAAGGCTAAGCGCTCAAGGGTGTTATGTGGTATATTGACTGCTGACAAGTTGCTTTTCAGCCTGTCTTTGTATCTTAGCCATGGGTGTCCTACATTCCTGTAGCCCTGATCTAACTGGCTGTACATTAGGATCTTGGGTATCCTGTCATCAGACATTCTCAAGACATGACCAATCCACTGTAACTGAGACTGTATGATAAAAGTCTTGATTCCTCCAATATTACACCTGTTAAACAGGTCTACGTTAGATGTCCTATCTTGAAGCTTAACTCCACAGATTGCACGCAGACAGCTTTTATGGAAAACATCTAGCTGGTGTATATGGTACCTGTATGGAGTCCACAACTCTGAGCCATACAAAAGGATGGCAAGTACAACAGCTCTGTAAACCCGAATTTTTGTATCCAGTTGAATACCCCGCTCATTCCACAAGCGTTGGCGATGTTTGCCAAAAACACTGGTAGCCTTAGCAATCCGATGCATGATTTCATCATCTAAAGTTCCACTGTAATTGACTTTGCTACCAAGATAGGTGAAAGATTTACATAGTTCAGGGCTTTATCTTCTACTTTCAATGGTCTCTCTGGACATTTGTAGATGGGTGGTTTTTGTTTCTCACCACGCAATTGCTTCGGAGTAGGACAAGGTTGGTGCACTACTTCAGTTTTCTTTATGCTAAGTGTAAGACCAAATGCTTTACATGCAGCAGAGAAATGATTTATTAGATGTTGCTACAAGAGCCGCATCATCATATATATATATATATATATATATATATATAATAAAAAATTTCGTAATCCATATGGATAATCCCAAGAGATATTTAAATTTGCTTTCATTAAGAATTTTGCGGCTAGAAGACATTTTTTTAAGATTCAAAATTTAAAATTTGAAACTTTAGAATTTAATTAAAAACATTTTACTCCTTAATTGTTATTCATAATTATTAATAATGTTAATAATAGTAATATTGTTTATTTATATTATGTTCACATTATATTTATTTCCTAGCTTAATTTGTTGAAAAATTTTAAATGCATAAATTAATCTCAAATGGTAACAGCCAAATATATAAATCTGTGTTTTTTTTTCAAATATATTTCAAGTTACTCTTCCTCTTCTTTCCCTTTTCTTTCTCAAACCCCTACTTCCACTTCTGCTTTTTTATATCTTTACTTCTCTTTTTTTTCTCTTTATCTCGTTTCCTGTGAGATGACTTATTAAATAGGTCAATGTCTACTCCTTAACCTCCCCTCCCTTACTCTTAAATATCTTAATGAAAATAGATTTCAAATTATTCCTATCTCTCCCTTCTCTCTATATCACCTTACATCAACTTAAAACTACCCCTCAAAAGTAGATAAAAAATATATATGTAAATTTAAAACGTTTTTTTCAACCTTCGAAGTGTGGTCTGATGAACCAGGTAAAAATCATATACCTGGGGAAATAAATCATGACCAATGGACCCTTAAGGTTGTCTGTTTTCTATTTAAATTGAATTAATATAAAAATATATATATATATATATATATATATATATATATATATATATATATGTTTCATTAAATAATATAGACAAGTGTTGTCTATTTATTTAATGTAAATTCTTTTCATAACGTCTGATAAATTTAATAACATTATCATTGAACGAAGAAAGAAATTCACAATATTGATCCATATTTTTTAATACAATCTAAGCTTTCGACTTACATAAAGCCATTATCAAAGATGTCAATTACAACATATTAAGTAATATACGGACAAGACAGTCTGTGATTATGTAGATGATTTCTGAGCAACAATAAACACGTTCATATAAGACGCTAGAAGCGAAAATCACACCGCATCTCATGACGTCACACATGACCACGCGAGAGTGAATTGGAGAAGTATGAAGTATGGGAAGCCGTTGGTATAAACCAATGGCTTCTGTTACTAATGGCTTCCCATACTTCATACTTCATATTGCTTAATATGTTGTCCTTTCTTCTCATTTTCCTTCACTACCTTCTGTAGGAGTTCTTGTAGTTTCCTTTCTATGTCTACTATCAACACTGTGTCATCTGCATATCTTCTGTTGTTAAGATTGCCAACAATAAATCCAGGTAGAACTTCTAATTCTCTCAGAATTGCCTCACTGTATCGGTTGAATAAGTCTGGTGATGTCTTTTCTCCTGTAAGTTCTCTTATTTATTTTAAGCATATTTGCTTTATCTGTAATACTCATTCTTCCTATTTTTGTACATTTTTCATTGAGCCAATCCTTTTTAGCCTGCTGGCATTTGTTCCTAATTTTTTGTGGAGTGTCCTGTATTTTGTGTGATACATTGACATTGTTTTTGTCTCTTTTCATCATGTTAAGAATTTAACATCATCCATTTCTTTTTTTTTTTTGTCTCATTTTCTTTGCAATGATCTCGATTGCTGATGTAACTAAAGCATCTCTAAATATGTCCCACTTGAAGTTTCCATTTTCATTTTGTCATTTTATCTGCCTTTAACACTGTCAATGTAATTTTCTCCTTCACATTTGGGTCTTTCAGGAGAGTCTGTCTTATTTCAATTTTGTTGCTGCTTTGGGTCTCTTCAGTTTTACATAGTTTCACTTTTAAGTTTACATATCACTGGAAGGTGATTGCTCCTGCAGTCAGCACTTGGGGATGTTTTGCAGTGTAAAAATGCATTCCTGAATCTTTTATTGATAGTGATATATTTGTTTTTCCTCCTGAACTTCTTTATGTCCATATTTGTTTTGGTTGTTCTTGAAACCAGGTATTAGCTACTACCTGATCATTTGCTGTGCACCGTTTGACCCATTCCTAATCCAAATCTCTCAACTATTACACTATCTCTCTTCTTGCCTACTATAGCATTCAGGACTCCCACAATGATTGTAATTTTTTGTGATTTGTATTGTCTAGCGCACAGTAAAACTTTCCAATTTCTTCTGTACTTTGTGCTGTCAGTGCACAAACACCTATGATGGATATGTTGAAAGGCTTTCCTTTCAGTTTAATGACTAGGTTTTTTTCAGATAGCTGATGGTATCCCAGAACACATTTCTTCATGTCTTAGTCTAAGTCTTACTCTGTTCTTGTTTTCTCTCTGCCTACATATATAACCCTGTTTGTCAATGTCATTGATAAAATCTCCATTTGATGTGTGATACTTTTGCTAAATTTTTTTGTTTTGTTTTTAGATTCTACTTCTTCAATGCTGAAAATAACCAAAGAACGAACTTCCAGTCGTCGACATCCTTATCCTTACAGTTTTTCTGATGGGAGGTCCACAGCAGATGTTGATAGTGTCTCTGATATAAGTGAATGGATATTGGATGATAAAATCAAAGATATTTTGTATGGAAATCAAGAGGTAATCTTTTATACTGGATTTAATATTGTAACAAGTACTGTACTTAAAAAAACAAAAAAAAAACTGATGTATTGACAATTTGTTCTTTAGGCTTTGTAATAAGATGTATTCTAAGGATTTGTAGATATTAAAAAAATATAAAGTAACAATGCAATCAGTTTACTAAAGTTCTGTATTTACGTTATTTGCCTAATTGTTAAAGAATAAAAACACTTTTCAGGAAAACTATTAGCAAAAAGATAATTTTTAATGCACTGTGGCATAGAATTACTAGACAATTAGAAAATTACTTTTTCACACTCATTTGAATGGAATATGGCACAAGGTTGTGTTTTAAAGTGGGAATCCGACAATTACAGATTGGTAATAAAAAATTTGCATAGATCCCATAGCACTTCCCTCTTAATATGTCCCAATCATTGACCCTGATCCTCCATATTGTAATGCAATTTGAGTGGGGGTGAGAGCTCCTTGGAACTGAGCATGTTGTACTTTGATCAAATCCAACCATTGTGCCTTTTTTTTATGACTAAGACAAATTAAAAAAAAAAAAAAACTTAGCAAAACAAGAAAATGCAGTTCATTTACTCTTAGAGGAAGAGTCCATTTATGGGGAAGTAAGGTAGCCTTTTGATTTAGAAGATTCAATTTTAATGGATTAATGCCAGAAAATTTGATGATTCAATCAGATGACAGCCAGTACCTTATTTTGTAATTGTTGCTTTTTCTATTTATTTTTTTTTTAACTCTAGTAATTTGTGGGATTAAGATATAAACAAAATGTCTGTTCTAACTTTAAAAAAAAAAAAAAAAGAAAAAAAAAAGGTTACTAATATTTTACATAATATAAACAATGCACTCAATCATTTTATTTTCTTTTAAATAAGGTGAATTATTTCAGCTGAAAGAATTTCACCCATTTGAATATTTATTTTGTTTTGTAAAATAAGCTCATATTGAAATGTGCATGTCTATGGATAAAAAGCAGATGGCAAATATCTTTTTATGAATTATAATTTATTTCTAAACATATATTTTCAGATTGAAGATGCCACTACCAGAAGATTGTCAGAATCAGGGTCTGATTATTATGATGAATTGTTTTCTAACTCGGCAAGACAAGTGGAATCATTTTGTGTTACCTCTACCGTCAACTCAGATGATGTCTCCAGCCATATTGATTGGGTGTCTCTAGAGAAAGGCTTAACTGAGCAAATGAATGACACTGATCCTCAAACCTAGTTCCTAGATAATGGTTCAGTGGTAGGGTATTATATAGAGTTTAAAGTTCATCCCAAACCTGGGACTTTTGTGATATCAGTTAAAACTGATTCTAACCTATTGAAGCTTTATAGACATACAGAAATGTTTCGAGTTTTTAAAAATGATACAAGAATGTTTTAAGGAAAATATGTACATTTCTATACGTTCTTCTCAAATATGCATGTTTTACCAATATAAATATATACAAAGCTGACTAAGTAAATTGGTATATTTTCTTAACAACTGTGGAAAATGGAACAAAATGAGAAAATTGAATTCATGATTACAAGCACTTGTCATTTTATGGTAATACACTTAGAAAAGGCATGACTCCAACCTTCCTTGTCTCATTTCTAATTAACTTGTTACTAGTATGGTATAATGATAATTAAAGCAGAGAGAACATGAGTATATAAATAAACCATTTTAACCATGCATGCCTGTACTTACTGTGGCTGCAAGCAACTGCTATATCCATTGTCAATCATGAAAACTTCTACCACTATAAGTATGGCCCCTAAATTGGATATCATTACTGTCATGACTTTATTTTATTGCCTTTAACTGAATACACAGCACAAGTATATAGAATCTCTTATATAATTTACTAACCATATTCTGGCACAATAATGGGACACCTGTGAACATCATTACACTAGCAAATTGGTTGGCAGGACTAGCTTGTTAACCATTGCACCACAATTCACTTGTTTCCATTATTTTGTTTTTTTCTATATAACAATTATCACAAGTCAAATCATGTGGAGTTGGGATGTGTTTTGCCCTAATTTGATTTCTTAGGTTCAAACCCAGGTCGTGAAATCTTGAGCTCCTTTTAACTACCACTGAGTTGTTCTTGTTTGGTCTTTCAATCAATTTTATTAATGCTTAAGTCTAATCAAAAGTGGTTGGTTGGTAGTCTGCTCCTAAAGCTTTGGTAAAGCTGGTGATTATTTGATTTCAAGCAGACCCTGCATCACATTTTTGTCAGCATCTCCCCCAAGTATTTTAATCAAATGGGAAATCCACAAATAAAAAACATTCACTTGTGATACAGAGACACTTGAATCCGTCCAATTTTACAAATAAATATTTAACTAATGTGATGGTGTTTAGCATTATTGAAATCATTTTAATATGGTGATGATCTCTATCTCTCCTGAAGAATGAAGTGGCCAGAACTGGGAATTTCATTAAATGTGGAAGGATGAAAAATAACATTTTTACAAGTGACTCTTTTGAAAAATACTTATTTATGTGAAAGTAAATCACATGGTTTCAATGTCTTGTCTAAACAGGACAATTTTATCGAATTATTATAAAGTCATATTTCCTATTGCTTTTGCAGCATTATAGATTGGAAATAAAATTAAAAAAATAAGCATCTACTGAGATTTGAACTTGTATCCCCCATCCTTGGGAAGCCTGACCATCCAGAGTAAGCTGCTTTATTGATTAGGTCATGAAAACCAAATGGTTACAGAAATTCGAATCTAACCATCAAGTATTCATTCTCTATTTTCCCTAAGTAAGTGTTACCTGTCTAGCTTTTCTTTTTTTTTTTTTTTGCACATGACAAAGAGCATTAATAAAGAAGACTAGTTTATCCAGGCTCTTATAAAAAAAAAAAAAAAAAAATCACTACGTTTTCAATTGTACTTATATAAAGTTTTTTTTTTGCCTTATATCCAACAGACAGTCACCTGGTGTTGCTTGTATAAGGCAGACATAATTGCATTGCATTGATGACAGACAAAATTTCTTAGATGAAGCATTGTCAGTTACTAAATTTTTATATGTATTTTCAATCTTCATCTACGACAAATGAATTAAGGATATTTTGTTCTATAATAATTAGACTGATATTTTTCCTAAATGTTTCTCTTTAAACTACTATATTTGCCAGCCTAAAAATATATTTGAATATGTTCAAGTATTTAGTGTTAGCTTAGAATGGTCACACATAGCAATAATCTGCATGACCCACCTATTAACCTCTTCCAATGGCAAGGTACCAATTTATAAATCAAAATATATTTCAATTTATTATATATAATACTATAGAAGACATACAAGAAGGCACAAATAACATATGTGCATTATGGAGATAGGAAGCTGAGCATTAAAAGCTTCAGCTGTATTGCAACAAAACTGGGACAAGTTGGGGGTCCTCTAGAAAAGCAAATGTGATCAATTTCTTTTGAGATATTTCATTGAATCGTATGTAAGTAACCTGAAGTGTAGTTAGAATTTAAAAGGAAAGGTTTTCATGTTAGTATTTTGAAATATTTTTTCATACCATATACTAGTACAATGTGATTATTATTTTTTTTTTTTTTAAATAAGATTGTTTATCTATATAAAGCCCTGTTTCATTATATTTTTGCTTAAACCCTTTATATATATATATATATAATCAACTAGTTAAGGGCTTTCAAAAACACGTGTTTTTGCTGCTGCAGGCTTGTAAAATAGTCAAGCAGACATTTGTATTTTTAAACCCCTGAATGATTTTCAGTTCTATTATGAAAGTGTATTAATGTTATTTCTACATAAAAGATTAAAAGAAAACTTCACATTTCTAATAAAAAAAGAAAATGGAGGTTTAGATCTAGAAACCATTGTCTGCAATGAAGACTTAAAATTCATTAGAAGAGTTTAAATTTGGCATTTAACCCATTTAGACTACTTTTGGGGGAAATTTTCAGTACGAGAAATGGATCTTAAACTACCCTACTGCTAAGTGACAAAATTTTACTCTTATGAATCACACATATATATATATATATGTGTGTGTGTATATATGTAATACATATATATGTAATATATTTGTGTGTGTGTGTGTGTATATATATATATATATGACACTAGCTATGGTAATTGGCTAACTAGTTAACCATAGAAATTAAAAACAGGAAATACTTAAGGTGAGAAAGAGCTATATCGAAAGATAGACTGAGTGACATAAAAAAAAAAAGAGGAATGTATTTTATTTACAAAAGAAAGATACTTTTCGCAAAAGACAGAAAATCCGTAAGAAAAAGCAAGGCGGTGATTCTGTCAAAATCAATTAATGTCACGATAAGGGGCTGACACGCCAATGTAAACAAAACTCAGATAGAAAAACAAAGCCGGTCGACGCATGCGGCCATGGAAAAATTTGTCTTGGGACCACCCTGGGGGATGGCTATTGGTTGTTTTTCAGAGATGTCATTTGGCTTTGATTCCTGATTCCAGAGAGGTAGGCCATATATGTACGAATCTTGACATGAAAAAAAAGTCGAAAAGGGGATCATTGTTGTTGCTTATTCAGGCTGTGGGCGTCTGGTGATGGGAGAATTTCAGGGCATGGGGGAGTGGAGAATTTGACAACCCAGTTGGGGGTTGGCTGGCGGAGAGGCTGGGTGTCGGGGATGATTGATGAGTTGATAGAGGCCCGGGCTAAGTTGATTTGGGTGTCCCCAAAATTATGATGTGATAAAGAATTATTCGGCAATCTGGGATTTGTGAATGTTTTGGGCAAAGGAAAAAGAAAAAAAAAAAAGCGATTTTGTGGCTAGTCTGGCTGCACCCACACATCCGAGGGATCATTGGATGACTGGTGGCATGGGTGATGGGTAAACGTATGAGCTGGATGGGGAGGTTGTTGGCGCCCACTGGGGGGGATTGGTGTTGGGTGCCAGACTGTGGGGGGCTGGGAGGATGGCTCTCCTCTGGCCTTCCCTCGCAGATGGGGGAGAAGCCCCCGAGGTGGAGAGTGATTGGTCTTCCAGATGTGTGAGGTAATTAATTTTCCTGTCCTAGGGGCGGGGAGAGTTCCTATTGGGAATTGTCAAAGAACACAAACCACGTCAGACCCCACCCCGGAGTTTATCGGTGTCCATATAAACAAACGTCTCGAGGCAGCTGAGCAGAGTTTCGGGAGAGTTTCAACAGAGTTCGGAGTTGCAGTTGGAGACCAGCCACACAGAAGCTGACCAAAAGATTTCCACGTCCTTTTCGACTTAGTCTTCCTACCAAAAGCAAGTTTTTATTGACGAACAACTTAACATACCATAACTCGCTTAAGAAACGCAAAAAGTGTCACAAATCCATAGAAACGGGCCGGGAGAGAAACACACACCTGTATTCAACAGATAGATAAAGATAATTATTATTTCTTTTACTTACGCTTATGCAGTATCACCATACCCCGGATTCAGGTTGCACTACAGCCCAATGCCTGATTGATTTTGTCTACCTAAGATCAAAATCACAACGTGGGTAGGTTAGACTTGAGATCAAAGTAGTTACTTCGGTAACCAGACGTTGGAAGTGAGCTGGGAACAACAAAGCTGATATCGAACCGGGAATAACCAGATCAACCAGGACACAGGCTGGTGGCAGCGACATAGTCAACCTCCAAAAACGCTGGTGGAAGTAACCTTACAGCTTCACGCTGCAACTGGGAGTTGACCACGGGCCGACGCCGCAGTGTCACATATTGGTATCGCTACCAGAGTATGTCATATATTGGCACTGCAATGTGACCACCAGTGGGTGTCACAGTCATGTCAAATAGATTTTCGGCAGTTTTTTGTAATTTTTAATGATTTTTGTGTAGTTCTTTGCTAGAGAGAGGGCCATATTTAAAATAGATTTAGTGATGGAGAGATAAATTTCAAGTTGCATGAATGCTCAGATACACGTCTTTTATGCTTATGGAGCAAGTCTATTGCTGATTTTGTACATTTCCATTGATTTACACCTAAAATTGTTCTTGAGAGTTAATTTCTTTTTCCTAGCTTGTATACTGGGTCAGATCTAAAGTTTTCTTTGTGATATTTTAGTGGGATGAATGTGCCTGTAATTAATTTTTCTAGACAGTTTATGCAATTATTTAAGTTGTGTTTTTTAATAATTTCTTTGGCTTTGAGTGCTTCCTTTTTTTGAATATTTTTCTTTTAACTGTGAAGTTCACCCTGTACAAAACATAAGGGGACACTTAAGGTAGACGGGTACAGAGTTAGAGGCACAGTTCATGCAGATAAGTGGTGGAGATGTTAACCCTAGACTTGAACAGGTTAAGATTTAGTGATCAGAAAACATCCTCTTGGAAGTTGGTTCCACAGAGTACTAGTTTGCAGAAAGAAGCTGTTTGAGTGGAACTTACTTTTCATCAATGGAGAAAGAGGGGTTGCAGGGTGGAAAATAATGTCACCCACAAGGATGCGGGGGACACTTTTGAACTCTATCATGAGTTTTGGAGGGGCACCCATATATCATTGTTTTATCGCATAGATATTCACAAATGAACTGAACATAGGTAGATCATTTATGTAAAGTAAAAAGAGGGTTGGTTTGAGAAGTGACCCCCTGTGTTGATTGCTAGGGCCCCGGAAAACTGGCTATTTACATCTACCTTCAGGAAGGAGTTTATAATTGAGAAGTAATTCTTCCAGTAATTCCATAACTAGAGAGATTGAGGAGCAAATCTTTGTGCTGCACCTTGTCAAAGGCCATTGAAATATCTAATGCTCTGGTCCTTGGGATGCATTTGTGAGTAATGGTAGGACAACGACAGTGGATCAAGCCAATTGAAACCTGTACTATACTGAGAAGGGGATGAGTGCTCAGCTGTCTTCTTGAAAACTTGGCATATGCTTGACACTTTCCACAGGCTTTGGAAGGATTTCTCCTTCAAGCATCGCTTAATTACCTTCACTAGGATCAAGGACAGTTGTGGATTGATATTAAGGACAACCACTGGGATTTTGTCTGGGCCAGTGGCTTTCTTAGAGTCGAGGCTCTTGATAAGTCTTGAGACTTCTCGGGTGGTAATGAAAATATTACTGAGATAGTGCTGAGATGTAAAATTTTTGCTAAGCATTTTTCAGGGCAGGATGTGAGGTAAAGGTTGAGGAGGTTCAACTGATGTCTTGCCATGTCAGGGATAGGAGTGGGTTCTATGATGATCTGGGCTAGTTCATAGGTGATGGAGAAGTCTTTGCAATATCTGCCTCCTTCATTGCTTTTGTTTCAAGTGGACTAACCACTCTTTGTGGTGGCTATTGAAGTTACCACAGATATGAAATCTAGGTGAGGATATTAGCAATCCTGTCAGATATCCAATTCGTGTCCTATTGTTCTGAGAACAATAGAGAGCAAAAATGAATGTCGTACTATAGATAAGTGCCACACGGAAGCACATTTCCTCATTTTTTGCATCCCTACAACCTGTCCTTAATGCACGCACCAAGTCTGTGGCAATTTAAGTGGTCATGTTTGGCTATTAGAGGGTGAGGAGCCCAGGATTGTGAGCACCTACAATTGGATTGAGGCATGTTTCAGACAGAAACAGGAGGTCAGGTTTGGACTCAAAAAGAAACTTCTGGGAAGTTGGAATATAGACCCTTCATATTGGTGTAAGAATAGTATACCTGGAGTCTACTTTTTTTTTTTTTTTTTTTTTTTTTTGGAGGTTGGGTTTGATAATTTTAATCTATTTCATGTGTAGATTTCATGTTTTGTTTGTTGGAAGACTAGTAGAAGGTGATATAGAGAGACACACACATACACAGGAGATGCATGCATTTTGATAACCTGGATTGAATTGTTCAGACATACAGCTGTAACAGTACTTTTCATCATGGCATTGCATCCACTGGAGACTACTGCATGATCTAGAGCCCATTCATGAAATGGCAGTACAATAGTCCTACACACCTGCTGATAGGATAGCCTCCTTTGGAAGTTACTCAAAGGTTTGGATCCCTGACTATCAGGTGGATAATACCAAAATCCACAAAACATCTACCTCTAGCACCTTTAATGAAGATAGAAATAATCCAGGAAAGAAGATACAGGTGTGTACATGTCTATCCAGAAATCAAGGTAACAAAGCCCCTACTTGGATCAGCAAACCTAAGTGACCAAGATACTTGTATACATGAGGACTAAAAGACCCATTGAGAGAATTGGTTAGAGTTTTTCTCAAACTCTTATACAAACTTCTGTTTTGTCTTTTTGGTCTACTGTAAATTAAAGTGACAAGACTTTCTTCTATTGAGAAATATACATAAATCTTGTTAAAAATTAAAAAATAAATTTATTTTTTTAAAGACAGAAGCAGCTGCTTCAACCAAGTCCAAGAGAAAAAAAAAAGTTTTCTCTTCATACAATCAGGTGGGCAGTGTTTGTGTCCTCAGAATTTGGCAGCCCTAAGGTAATCAATAAGGCAATTGGTCTGTGAAAACTGGCGCTGTAATTCTTCCCAGATGGCACTGTTCTTCATGTACAAGAGTCGAAGTTGTTCACATAATTCAGTGTTTAAGCTGATCTCATTAAAATGAAGCTAGAAGGAAAAAGAAAAAAAAAAAAAATTATTTTTCTCTTTTTTTTTTTTTTTTGAGGATTATTTATTAATATCATTTGAACGCTTAAAATAGCAAAAGAAAATATTTTGCAGAAAGTATGGTGCTCTTGACCCAACCTTATCCCCTAGATTTTTTTTTCTTACCTGTAGGAACAATCCAAGATAAGCTTGAGTTAATTGAAAATCCTGTTTTTTGTCCAACATATGACTGATCATCTTAACAAACTGTAGCAGCACTTGACTCGAACCTCCTTCACTGGGAGCCAAGCCTCGTAATTCAAGATCAATTGATGATGGCCCCATCTCTTTCAAGTTATCCAAAACATTATCAACTGCAAAAGTTTAAAAAAAAAAAAAAAAAAAAAAGTCAAATAATTTTGGCGATATCAATTCCCAACTTAATGTAAACAGAAAAAACTCTAGGCAGCTTCCTTGAGATTTCACATGAACGTTTTTTTTTTTGTTTTTTTTTTTTTACTTGAAGAGAAAAACCTTATATTGAACTAAAAGTAACTACTGTGTTTCAAATGAATCTTGATAGAAAAAAATATTTCTTTTCTAATCATTTCACCCCAAGCAAGGCAATGAGGTTGCTTAGTAAGAGAAAATGAAAACATTATTAAGGAAAGAGGGAGCAGGAATTAAGAAGACGGAAAATAGCAATTGACATTTTATTTAAATTTATGAAGTTGACTAAAGCAAGAGGCTGAAAAAGTTCCACATGAGCATGATAAGAAACTGTAAGCACAGAACTTACAATGGTTACACACAGCCATTTCAACTGTACCTTCTTGCCAATCTAGTACTGTACTTAAATTCATAAAGTCAATGTATCATAGAGGAAAGTGATATTTATTTCCATATTAAAAACAGAAAATGTGGCAAAAGGCCAAAAATGGGGATTGGAGAAAAGGATGGTCTTCTGTCTTAACTTTAAACTTAGCTAGCCACAAACACTGACCCAAATATACAAACAATATTCCTAACACCAAAACAACACACTCTTACTTACTACATCCACCATAATGTATAAAATAGATTCTGGTGAGAAAAATTATCTAGTATGACACAGCCAATCTCTTGAAGGTTAATATCAGCCATAATAATGGGAGGTGTAAAAAAAAAAAAAAAAAAAAAAAAAAAAAAAAGGTTCTCTCAGACAATTAAAAAAAAAGGGCAGATTTGTTTTGGAGGCATTAAAATTAACAAGACTTTCCTTGCCCCAGTTAACAACAGATTATAGGTCATTTTTGTTATTTGACCTTATCAATTACTAGCTTAAAAGCTGCCCTATTGGGCTATTGATTGGGCCTTCATCACAATAGAAGTAGATATGATAGGCAACAATAAACTAGGGAAGAACTCAAAATTGATTGTTGAATTTAAGTATTTCATTAATATTTAAGCTTATCTTTTAAAAGTTCAATGTTAATTCTTCTGCTGCCACTTAAAGACAATTTGATGTACATAGGTCCTGACTTTCCGTACAAACAATTATTTTTATTTCATGGGTGACTTGCTGGATTTTGCAATTAATTTTGATTATAAAACCTTAAGGGATTAAAACCCCTCACAACTGCTAAGACACTTATGGAAAGTAACATGGAAAGTAAATGATGATTTTTCATCTCATGAAACAAAAATTCACTTACAATCATCATCAGTTTCTGCATTTTGAAGGCCTTTTCCAAATTCAGTTAGATTTTGTTTTAGTCCAAACGATATACGAGAAGCCACCTGAAATAAATTGTAGGAGAAAATATTTTTTACTGATTTAATATGAACTTTATTTTTTAAGGCTGCAATTATATTTTCAGTGCTTCCTTTTGACTGAATAACTATGTGTTATTAATTAAAATTAATATGAATGCAGACAATATTTCGATATTTAACAAATCAGCTTCAAAACAGAATGACTACAATTGGTTTTCATTGTTCATTTAAAAGAATGCAAATGTTAGTGAATAGGTACAAAAGATTAATGGATAAGCGCCTTGCCTTTTTTACTATATTATTTGGTCATCCTCATAACACTTAAGGGCAAAAAGACAAAAAACCCTCCTCCCCAAAACAGTGCATGTTAAAAGGATGGTTATTACTATATATATATATATATATATAAAATAATAAGTAATTATATTCATCTGGAAAAATCTTTGGTGTTTTGGCTTATAAATGAACAAACCAATACTCAGGGGAAAAAAAAAAAAAAAAAAACTAACTAAGAACATGTAATTGAGGCAAAAACAATCATCCAGAATCCAAGTTCAGAGTCCAAAGAAAAAAGGACCAAAACGAGTAAAGCAAAAGTAACTAAGTGCTCAATACACTAAGTAGAGCAAATCTAACTATGAAACCTACTTACCTACCTTTGACAACAAAGATGTTAAAGTCACTATTTATTTATTAGATTAATTTATATTTACATTATAAAAATATGTAAAGCAACTATAATGAAATATTTATTATTTACCATTTTTATAAAGAAATGAATATGTAAAGCAACTATAAAAAAAAAAAAAAACAAAAAAAAAAAACAGTAACTCAACAATGGGCTGTTTTTTTAGTCACATGGTCATGGTTGTTTTTATGTTGTAGGCTATATATATTCTGTTCCAATTTTACCTCTTTGGCTGGCGTACACTGACGATCCACATAGATGAAACCTAGGTAGGTTTGCCTGGCTCTTTAGGTTTATAGTTTTTATATATATATATATATATATATATATATATATAAAAACACACTCCCCTGGCAATGTTTATAAAAATATTTGAACCAAGTACAATGTAATATTTATTTTTTACCCATTTTATAAATAATTATAGAAGAAGAAAATTTAAATAAATATGACAAACATAAATGTTTGGTTCAGGAGAAAAGTTCTCAACTTCTCTTACTGAATTTATGTGGTGAGAACAAATGAAAAATGTATGGAAAATTTCTTTTCATATTTATTTCTTTATAAAATGGTAAATAATAAATATTTCATTATAGTTGCTTTACATATTTTTATAATGTAAATATAAATTAATCTAATAAATAAATAGTGACTTTGTTGTCAAATTCCTAATAAATAAATAGTGACTTTGTTGTCAATATTGGATTTTATTAAAATTCTAATCATTGCTTTTTTTATGTCAATGTATACAGTAATTTCATTGTGAAGGGAATAACTTTTTTGCTGGCACAAAGGTTAAACATTACCAAGAATTCTTTAAAATTTAACTGCAATTAAGTTAAAAAAAATCAGTTGATTAAACACTTGGAGCCAAGAGATTAAAACTGTAGACAAAAAGTTTGTTGGTAAAAAAAAAAAAAAACATTAAAATCAGGATATTATTATTATTATAAATTTCTATAAGCTCTTAGAAAGATGAAGAAAATTATATTGAAAAATTTTTTAATCTCCTTCACTAACTTCATTTCGTTTTTTGACACAAGTAAGCATACAAATTCATAAGACTAAATAAAGTAAAATCAACAACACACACACACTTGTTTTTAAATTCTTATAAAATCCAAGATGACTAGAGAATACAAGGCCATATCAGATTGAAACAGATTCCCATTCAATCATCAAAGTTAAGCAATGTCAAGCTTGGTCAGTACTGAGATGGGTGACTGTTTGAGACTACCAGGAGCTGTAAGTATGGATGTGCAGGTGATGTAATGAATAATGACTCAGAATTCCAGTTGAGTTTTTTCTATTCACTTATGCGCAAATACCTTTGGGAAAAGGTATCAATCTACCTCTTCTCCTCCCAGCTATTGGTTAATTTGTAAGACTTATCACAAAATCATTATTATCTTAAAAAAAAAAAAAAAATCCTTACAATATAAAAATATTTCCTAGTTTTAAATAATCTACAAAAGGTTGAAAACAAATCAAATTAATCAAATACAAGAAATGTCGAGCAGAAGAAAAGTTAATGTCATTTTAACACTTACCTTGTTATTTTCAATGGCATCTTTTTGTGAAGCAAATTTTAATTTAAGGCCTGGAATTGTTGGCAGGAAAAATGGAGCAGCTTTTAATTTCTTTGGAGGCATTTTTGGTTTGTTCCTCAACTGTCAATAGGAAAATGAAGAAATTTAAAAAAAAAAAAATTATATGAAAGAGAAAGCAATGTCTCTCTTATTGTAGAAAATACTTTTGTTAATTTTAACAGAAAAGTTCTGTTATTTATTTTTGATTGTTTTTATGAAAATGTTTGGATGTCATTTCACTATAAATCATTACAGCAAGCAGCATAAATCAAAGAATTTACCTCAAATGCAATTTAAACTTGCTTCCACATTCAGGAAATACATCTAACCAATTTTGTCTGAAATGCTACAGCTAACTCTGATGTTTACTGCTTTTCTTGTTTGATTATTCAGTGCCACATTGTTTACACTGTAATTGTAGGAGAATCAAGAATGTTGTGATAAAAAGAATTAACATGAAAGAATAAAAATAGAAAAATTAATGAAAATATTTAGCTCAAGAATTTAGTTAACTTGAGACTTTTGCCTTGTTATCCGTCAGCAGCTGATCAACAGGAGAAAATCTAATCCATATTTTAATTCAAGTCCACAATCTATAAAAACTTATGATTAGGGTGCAGAAAAATTCAAAATGATCAAATATTAGAATTTATTTTTGAATCTCTCGGGGGTTAAGCAACTTTTCATAAACCCCCATCCATATTACTAGTTTATTCATGAAGTCCAAAAATTGTTAACAATACTATCAGTTGGTTTTAGGTGGTATTTTGGTATTGCTCATCTGCTCCATTGCTAAATAGTTTTGAGTATCTTTTGGTGCTGTCAGAATAAATTAAAAAATATATATCAAATGGAGGGAAATTTTATTTGAATGAGAAAGAGAAAAAAATATGCACATTTTTTTAATAATTGTTTCTTCTATTTTGGTTCTTAAGTTTTAAAACAGGATGAATGAAACTAAGTCAGACCATAAATTTATTTCTTATTTCAGATGAAAATAGTCAAATTTTCTGCAAGCTAAAATATATCAATAAGGTGTCTTCATATAGTTATTGATGTGTCAGATTTCTAGGTTTCTATATTCAGTTAACAGGAAAACGAAATGATATTAATCTCCCTCTTGTTGATTCAGACACTCTTTTACTCAATAAAATAAATTTTCTTGTCCTATAAATGTCTGAATTCAATATTTACTAATCTGACTTACACGTATGATGTCCAAGTTGAGAAGATTTTGCCAGCGAGATGACGGCAACAGTGACAATGTAATCAGTTCATTGCTAATTTGTTCTGGAGATTTGTAAGGTGACGATAAAGAATCAAGTTCTTCTGTTGAATATTCATCATCAAGTTCTGTAAATAAAAGACAAAAAAAATAATTTGATATTTTAACCATAAAACGTTTCAAGATAAAAGGATGAGTGTTGTTTCATCACATTAACACCAATAAATTGCTTTTCTTCAGAAAGAAACAATGCATAGGTTTTTACTTAATAATGGTCCCAAAGTTTGAGAGAAATGATGTTGGTAATTTGGATTTGTCAAAGATGAGCTTTAAGTGGTTTCCAGTGAAAAGGTGAATAGGAAAAAAAGAAAATGAAAATTGTATACTAATCTATTTAGAAAAATAGTATGACAAATCGGAAAATATTCTACACACTAACTCTATAACATCTACAGCTGAAAAGAATATATCTAAACTCAACATAAAATTTGTCACAACTATGTCTAAAACAATCAAAGACTTAATCAATAAAAAAACAAACAAAACCAGCCAAAACTTGAAGGAAGAATTGATTCTATCAAATGCAGAAATTGCCAGAATGAATCCATTGGCAAAACCTCAAGAAGTGTAAACAAAAGAATATGAACACAAAAGGGTCATTTTAAATAACAAGACATAAAATGCATTGGTTGTTCACTGTAACAAAATGGACCACAATTTTGACATAGGGAATGCTAATTTGATTAAAAGAGAAAATAATCTGAGATGAAAATGCCTGGAAAGTGCCTTGATCGCTAGTTCAGTCATGGTAAATTTGTGTTCAGGCTCTTACAATGTATCACCATTCTTGGTAGATTTTCTGTTATCACAATGTGGGAGAGTCAGGAACAAAAGGCGAAAAAGAGAGAAAAAGAATATAGATGAATTTGGCTAGACTGAAAAAATATTTAAAAAAAAAAAAAAAAAAATTTTGAAACTACCAGTGTCTTACATTTTGTGCACATGTGTAGATGTGGCAACATCAACAAAGCCCGGTTCGATGAAATACGCCACAAAAACTTTTCCCCCCAATTTTTTGTCATATTATTTTTCTAAATACTGTTTGTTGATATATAAAATTATACAAAATTATATATTGTTATATCATACTGATCTATAATAAGAAATTTTCTAAGTCACATAAATTATTTCAGTATATTCTTATAATTGTTCAATGTTAATCACTTCTACACAATTTTTAAATTTGCTTTGTCATAGGAATCTATGTACAGAGAAATTATATATATATATATATATATATATATATATATATATATATATATATATATATATGTATGTATGTATGTACTGCCCAAGATTCACTAAAAATGATCATGCATGATGAACAGATGCCCCAAGCTTAATAAAAATAAAGTTTTATCATCAAAAGCTTTGTGCTTATTATTATTATTATTATTATCATCAAGAGGAAAGACAAAAGGATTATTTGATAATTCAATTATATTTTTTAATTCTTTTTAGAACCATCAAAGTTTTACTTAAAAATTATTTTTTTCTTGTATTAGTGGATGACCAAGATTAGTATAAAGAATTTTAGCATCTTTTCATGGTGAAGAAAATTGATTTGGTAATTTTTGCAAAAATCCAATAATTGTTGGTTTGTAAAGAAACTTTCACAAATGAATGAAATTATTTAAAATTCTATTTATTTTTTTTTTTTTTTACATGTTACCACCCACTTATTTAATTATATGAAATTTTGATTTTTTCTGCTTAATGTTTATATGAGTCTTTGGAGAATTTATATCATCAATTTCCTTTTGTAAAAATATGACCCCCAGTTACCAAAAATCTACTAGGAGTCATAAAAAAAAATGCAATAAAATTAAGACATTAATTAGAAAAGATTTTAATTACTTTTATGAATATATATAAGATCAAAACATGGGTTGGAAAGGTATTGTTTGATATTACCATATTTATTGTGTAACTCTGTTGACTCCCCCAACTTCTTTATTGGATGTCCAGCATTGAGTACTTTTAACTGTGCTTTTTTTTTTTTTTAAGGCATGGACTCCTTACAGCCTATTTTTTTACAAATATTTATTCATTTATTTACGTACAAATTTTTACATCTTTTCAGCATGGCTGATTTGAAGCCTTCTTTTAAGGAGGTCTGATATTTTATATATATATATATATTATATAAATAATGGACACTATTGTATTTTTTCAATGAATAATGAATTTTCATAATTGTTTTCATTTTTAAAAGATATTAATTAGAATAATTTATAATGGTTTGAATCTTTTAAAATTCTATATTAATTTGTGCTGGTTAAGTGATATTGTTATTAAGTAAAAACTATATTTACTAATCATAAATGGAAAAGCTTACAACAATTCAGTGACCCTCTGCCAGTATTTTAAAAATTTTTTTAGATTTTTTTGTGTATATAAACATGCCAATTTTTTAGAATATGGATGTCCATACACGACATTATCAGAAAATAAGTGGTAATTATAGTAAATTTAAAGCAAGAGTACTTAAAATTCGATAAAACATTACATTTCTTAGAATATTTTTCTAAATTTTTAAGATTACTGGGTAGTTAAAAAAATTATATAAAAAAAAGTGCTCACGTTATATTCAAATAATTTGTACAGGTATGTCTTCTATAGAAAAAATGAGTTAATTTTCAGCTATCAACACCTCATAAAAACATCTACATGATAAAAAATGCATTTCTGTGATATTTTAAAGTAATATTTGTTTCAAATCAGATAAATTAAACTTTATTTGAGAAATATTAGTTGATTTAAAGTTTCAGAAAAGTATATTTTTGACATCTTTTTACTTTTACCAAAGATCTACATTATTCCAGGTTTCAAGGAAATAAGATATAACATTAATTCATATGGGAAGACTTTTTGAACATTTTTTTTTGTGCCTCCTTAACATAACCTTCTTTTATATTCTGTCTGCCTGCCTTTATGTCAAGAAAGGAGGTTAATGTGAGACTTAAAATAGGACAGTATGCTTGACTGCTTAGCATATAACATTTTTTTTTTTTTTTTATTGTAGTTCTTTGTCAGCATTAAAAACGACCTAAAAACCTGCCCTAAACCTTTGTGCTCTTAAGCCTTAAAATTAAAGCCTTAATTTTCTACTATCATTGTAGCATTGTCAATTGTGGGGAAAATCTCACACAAGGTTATTGTTTAATCAGTGGACATATATTGTAAGATGCACAGATATTGTAAGTTACTGACATATAAAGTGAAATCAGCTAATGATGGGTTTGTTCAGTTTATCTTACCCTAGACACACTACTGCTGCTACAGCCAGAGTACATATGACCCTTTGACCCTAATGGGTTATGAGACTCAACATGTGACTAGATTAGAAACTGATGTAAATGTCTTACCGTGAGTTTTACTGCAAGTACTAGGATTCTCTATCAACATTGGTATGAAGTCATCAGGAAGGGCTTGTAATGAAACATGTTCATAGAGTGTCTTGTTTGACCATAAGTATATCCCAATGTCATCAACATGAGATGTGGCTATGAACTCTCCAGTGGGAGACATACTGAGCGAGGAAACTGGGGTGTCCACTTCAAAACAGTCTATTAATCTGCAAATGGAAAATAAATGATATTTCAAAGTTTTTTTGTTTTTTATTTTCATTAAGCAAGTTTGGATCAGATTCTCTTTAATTTCTGTTGTAGTAGTATTCCGAGAGTCTAATTAAGTTGCTATTTTTATTAATTTTTAACTAGTTTACATTTTGTAGGAGTTGTAATAATTAAGTTGTCCAAATTTACAGGAGCAATATCATTATTATTCATTTTTTCTGGTTTTTCTTTCACCATCTTTTCTTTTGCATTTTATTACAAGCCTCAGGTTGTTAACAAAAAGATGGAATTTCAAATAAATTAATAATGAAAATACTTTAAGAAATTCAAAACAATTACCATCATTTATTAATCATAAATTGTGATTACCAACAATATAAGATGTTTTGGAAAGCCAGGATCATGTACATCTTGAAGGGATTGAATTTTTATAAAAGGGAAATTATTTTTTAGAATAATTGCCTTCCCTTATTTTTCACTATTTTTTCTTTCATCATCTTTTCTATTGCTTTATATTGCAAGGTACAAGTTGTTCTGTTAATTAAAAAAATTAACTTAGAAATAAATTAATAATGAAAATACTCCAAAGAAATTCAGAACATCTGAGACTATTATATATTTACTAGTACTAGATGTAAGCAAACAAAATTTGAGCTTCATTTGTTGATAAATGGCTGTAGCCAAATCAGATGTTGTCAATGTTAGGCATCCCAGGACATGAAATCTTAGAATTCATTTTCCTTGCGCTTTATTTAATACTCATAGAACAAGTGTTGCAACAAAAAAAAAACAAAGAAAATATTTCTAGTGAAAAATTAACAACAATGATTCATTTAATTAATTTAGACAAGACTTACATCTGCTATCAATAAATGTAAACAAGCAAGGAAAATAAAATGAAAAACCAAAAAAACTGGTGAAAAAAATAAAGACAATTCTTGAGTTGGAATGAAAGTTTTATCAAATATTTTAAGTGAAAACGTTGAACAAAATTTATTAGTTGTTTAGTAATGCTACTCTGTGTAATTTTTTTTTTTTTTCACATTATAAGAATATTATCTAGAATATAGTTTGGTAGTATTTTTTTTTTTAAATCATTTCACCCCAAGCAAGATGATAATATCACTAAGACACAAGGGGTTACTGAGAATGGAAGAGAATGAGTAGACTTTAGTCAGGAGAAAGGACAATAAAAGAACAGGATTCAGGAAGATAGTGATTAGTATTGCATTTAAATTTTTGAAGATCCCTAGATGGCAGGGAAGCAAGTAACTGGAAGGGAGTTCCACCAGTGAGAAAAGAAACTATTAGAATAAAACAACAAGCTAGTTAAACAGTGAGACCTAATTGCCACTCTAGTAGTACGCTTAAATTCATGCAATCAAGGTATCTATGTTTGTTCCAACTTAAAAACACATTAAAAACGTTGTATTCTGCAAGTTTTATAATGGTGTCGATGCAAGTGCAGCAACAAAATTCATTCAGCATGCTTATGGGGTCAATGCATTACATTAAAAAAAAAATTGTAAGAGGTGGTTTTCTCCATTTAAAAACTAGGAATTTTAGTCTTGAGGATGAGCCAAGGTAGGGTCATCTGAAAGGACTCGATTCAGAAGATTTGGAAGCTGCTGTTACTGAAAATTCTGCCATTGTGGTTAGGGAAATCAGTGAGAAATTTAATGTTAGTCATACAACAGTCCTACAGGAAGTGAAAAGGATTCAGTGATTAAAAAATTGCTCCCGCAGGACTTGTTTTCAGAGAATTACCAACAATGTGCTGAATGTTGCGAGTCATTGCTTACATAACTTCAAGAGCCCTTTTTGGACAGATCTGTTACTAGTAATGAGAAATGGATCCATCAAGTGCTGTTATCAGTAGAAACAGAACTGCTCAGCAACCAAGAGAAGAATTTCATTCAAAGAAGAACATATTGCGTGTCTGGTGCGATATTTATTCAAGGAATCATCCATTATGAACTGTTAGATATCTACTGCCAACAACTTTATTTGAAAGCAGCCTTGGGCAGAAAACGTCTATCCTTAGTCAACAGAAAGATTGTAATTCTCCATCATGATAATGCCTGTCCTTACACTGAATGATAGGAGGAGCTAGGCTGGGAAAAATCTCTACATCCACTATATACTCCTGAGCTTGTTGCTTCTGATTATCAATTGTTTAAGGATTTGTAGAGTCATTTGGATAGTATAAGGCTGACATCAAGAGAAGATGTTAAACATGACTTCCTAAAGCATTTTACAAACATGGCATGTATAAACATCTTGACAGATGGAATGACATTCTAGGAAGCTCTCTATATATATATATATATATATATATATATATATAGGAGGCACAGTGGAGTAATGGATAGTGGCTTGGATTGAGGAATCAGAGAGCAGAGTTCGAATTCCAGTCGAATTCATTACATTCACTTACGTGCTAATACCCTTGAGAAAAGTATGAATCCTCTTCTCCCTCCAGCTATGGGTAAAATACCAGGACAGACTGGGTTCTATAGCCTTGGATGGCAACTGGTCTAGGAGAAGGACAACTCTGAATTCAAAACCTGCGGAGGGTTATTTGGGGGATCTTGTGATACACAGTGCACCAGGTCACTGTATTTGGCCCTTCAAAAAGTATGGTTGGTTCTGCACAAAGCCTTCACCACTAGAATCAAATCATACGTGTTGGTGTCTGGCTGTTGGTTCCTAGGAACTGATCTGCTTGACTCTGATACATCGAATTCGACAGGAGAGTCGAGTGTGTATTATATATATATATATATATATATACACACACACACACACAGACATGGTGTAATGTTTAGCAAGCGTGTTTTGCTAGAACAATTACAACTGAGTAGTGAATTCCTCATATTATATACACAAATGATGGTCACAATCTTGTATGAGTATTGCCATCACTTGATCAATCTATAGAGGTCTTGTTCTTGTATGATTCTTTAAGCCATCCAAGGACTAGCATTGTTTACCAGAAATGTTACAGTTGACAAGACCCATGGCATCTGCTGCTGCTGCTTCCTGGTTATTGTTATGAATTTTCACGTGTCTCTTTAGGCCTCCCATTGAAGTGCACTCTTTACATATTTTCAAACTGCTCTTAATGTAGTTAATATTGTTGCGGTTCATGTGACGTTGGTGGTGACTTTTGAGGCCTGCTTTACTTAGGCATTTTTTACCACATTGAAGACATGTGAAATCACATTCAATGCCGACATATGTTGGGAATTCTTTTGCCTTTTCTGAGATCTCTTTTCAATTGCTGATGCTTCTTACCCTCATCTTCAAATGCACTTCTACCTGCTTTCAAGGAATGTCTCCAGCTGCCACGATCCAAAGCAGTATTCTCCAAGTCCTCAAGTGCAATTTGTGTATTTGTCAGTGATTAATTAAAGCAAACCTAAAATGAGGTTCATTTTAGGTTTGTGTTGTGGACACTTCCCCTCAGACAACTCCCCATAGAAAAGATGTTTCGGAAGTCACTGATCTTCCATTCTCATCACATAAGCACACCACCTAAGACAATGTTGCAGGATGATGTTTTCAATGCTCATGCACTTACACTTGTCAAGAACTTCAACATCACTAATAAGCATCTGCCAGTGAATTCCAGCAATCTTTCTCAGGCACTGATGATGAAAACATTCTAACGTCTTCAGGTATCTCCTATGTGTTACCCATGTCTCCCAAGCATAGAGAAGGGTGGATATGCATTCTATCCACCCTTATATACCATTGTGTCTAGAGATATGCCATATCACAACCACAATCAGTTTGGATGTGCTAGTTCTGCTAACACACACACACACACACACACAAATAGGGGTTATGCTAAAAAGTTGTCAGCCTGACAAAGAAAGTTTATAAAAAAAATTAAAAACATCAGATGTTTAGTCATTTGGTTAGATTTTGGGAAGTGGGCTGAGCTGAGAATTTTTCAGTACCTCCTTGTATGTCAAAGGCAAAACAACAAAATAATAAAAAAAATAAGAAGATAAAAAAGATGGTCGATATTCTGGGTGGTTAGAAATGCTAAATAAACTTACTTTCCTGAAGGTAAGTCCCAAGTTCTTATAAGAGAATCCATTGATGAGGTTATTAGCCACCGAGCATCAGGGCTAAAAGTCTGTGAAAACATTCAAAATAAAATGGTTTTATCATTTATTATTAATCAGCCTTTCAACAAATCAAAATTGCTTAAAAAAAAAAAAAAATGTCTTCTTTGCTTTGGGTCTTTATAACTCCTCCATTATTGAGATTTAATAATTTCTTTTTTTTCTTTATTAATATTAAAATAATTGCAGTCAAGATTACATATCAAAGCATTAAATATTTTTTGTTTAAGTATAAAAAAATATTTAGTTTTTCAAGGTCTGAAAATTTAAAACAAAGATACATTTAGGGAGATACGAGTACTTTTGTTTGTGCATGTATATAAGTAAAAAAAATGAAAGATAAAAGAATAAGAACACAACTCAATTTTCATGTTGGGTGATTTCAGCCATATTGCATTCCTCCTCCTGGGTTGGTTCTATTTTTAAACAAGCATAGAAGAGGTAAATTTTTTTTTTTTTTTTTTACTCTCCCATGCACATATACACACACACACACATACACATGTGTGTGTGTGTTTAATATTTACTATATCCAAATATAGGGGAAGAATGTTTAATATCAGAGATTGAGTGATTATAAAGTTACTTCTTGGGAAAAATTCATGAAATTTCTTACATTTTTTTTTTTAAAGAGATAACAAAAATGGCATTTTATTTTTTAAACATTTTAAAATTCAAAATTAATTTTTTTTCTAAATTTTGAAAGTACTTTTATTTCTTAAAATTCTCATTAGCTAAATTTTAGATTAGAATGGGAATACTTCAAGTTTCTATAAAAAAAAATTCTTATTCACATGATTGTCTTGCTAAAATAAAATATAAAAATTTAAAGAATGTTAAATTTAGTTTCACTAATTTACATGAGTCTTAATGCATCAATCAAGATTGTTGGAATAAAAGAAAGAGATCTGATTCATAAAAACAGTTACAATTATCAAAAAAAAAAAAAAAAAAAAAAAAAATCAAAGCAAACCTAAGTTAGTATTACAAAGTAAATCTTACTGTAATATTTCATCAACAATATGTTGGTGTATTGGTATGTCACTTACTGACTTACCCTCAATTTTCAGCCTTGAAATTCAAAAACATCTACATGGCCATATGGAGGACTACTTATTTTCCACCAGACAGCTCCTTTCCTATGGATGCAATATTGCAAGCCTATCACTAGTCTGTTGTTTCTTCCATGGCAAGTGTTCACATGAGCTCCATTCTTTAGTGCCACCAACTCAGACCTTTACAGATAAGACTGACCTTGTTATGTCCACAGAGTATAATCGACATCGTTTCCTACATATTTCTTTGGTAAGAAAGGCATTCGACACTGAAATCTTTTTTTATTGCTTTGTGAATGCTTCTCCAAATATTACAATCTTAACCTCTTCAAGTCTAGGGTCAGTCATTATTTACCTGCTATATCCTTGTAATCTTCACTCTCTTTTCTCCTCTTACATTCATATCACATATTTCATTCACTTGAGTGGCTCTTGGTCCTTGTATTTAGTGAACATTGGTAAGAAAATTTACACATCTCAAGGTATTTAAATATTGTTTTGATGAAGATCAGTGCAAATTTTTTCAAGTCTTTAATTGATTGTTTTTTTTTATGGTTTATCAACCCTTTGTGGGTTATTTAAACCCAAAACATTTGGATTTAAAAAAATTTTTTTTTTCTGAGCAAATACTACATTAACAGTTTTTTGAAGATAAAGATTTTTCCAGATATGAGATAATAGTTTAATAGTAATTTAACCCATAGCTGGGGAGAGTAAATGGATTCGGGTCTTTTCTTCCCCAAAGAGTCTCATAGAAATGCCTTACCAAATAGTTTGCAAATGCCACAATGCTCTGGCAATTATTTTATTTCTTGTACCTTTGATAATAGTTAATTTTCATTTGCAATGCATATTGTTGGTTACAATCTGTGGAATGACTGCTAAGAACATCCCCACCTCAAATTATAAACAAATCCTATAGATGTATGCTGGGATTTCTTTCTAACCAATAAAAACGAACATCCCCATAGTTTTGTTCTTTCTTACCTTCAGAAGGCTATAACCACTTGACTGTATCCCTTTTGTATGTGAACAATTTTTGCTTTATTACTGTTACTTTGCTTTTTGACTTGTATTATATATATATATATATATATATATATACACACACACACATACATACACCTTTGACTATTTCCTCTTCATCAGTGTGTGAGCAGAAATCGGAACTGGTGATAGCATAAACAGGAAATGCATTCGGTGACAAAAATAAACATGGCGCACAGGTGTCCTGAGTGGAAGAAAATGTGTGCTTGCGTGGGTGCATGTTGCAAGAGGCGTACCACGCGAAGCTGCATGGGTGCATACTGAAAGAAGTGTGGCCACACAAAGTTGCATAGGCACCATACCAGAAGGCAGCATAGCCATGTGAAGTTGCAGGGGTGTCCTATGAGTGGAAGGAAATGTGTACTTGCATGGGTGCATGTTGGAAGACGTATGGCCATGTGAAGTTGTATGGGAGTCCAAATGCTATAAAATCAGCCTGATTCTTAATTTGGACAGAGAGGCTGGCTCGAGGTTTACCAAAGATTTCTCTGTCAATTCTTGTGTGCACAATCCTAACCGCTGAGATTCTCCCACACTCAACCTATTCACCACAACTCAGACAATAAAGATATATATCTTTATATGTTTGTCACCTTATTTGAGCCCACCAATAATATACTATACTATGGCCAATTACTCTATACATATTCATATATGGGTACAATACCATTACAACTTTTGTTACCTATCTTAAAACTTATATAAGAAAGAAGAACTTACCATATCTGTGATTTGATGATGATGTCCTGAAAATACACGGATCACAATTTTTGTTTCCATGTCAATCACAACGACTGATAAATCATCCAATGACACAGCAAGCATAGCACTAAATTCCAAATGAAAAAAAAAAAGAAAATTTTATTTTAAATTTTTTCATAAGGAACAAAGCAGACATCAAAAGTAGAATAAATAATTCAACTTGTTTTTTTAACCCTTTATAAACTGAATTATTTTTACTTTGTGAGCTATTTGTAAATCATCAGGTTTTTTTTTTTTTTAAACTTTTACCAAATTCCCTAAAATCTGCTCCAAACCATTAAATAAAAACTGCAATAAAACTATTTAATTAGATAAGTTTGTAATTGCTTTTATAAATAATGTATATTAAGTACATTTGTAGTCTGTAGAAAAACGTTTTTTGATGAATAATGAATTTTTACAAGAATTGTTTCCATTTTTTTTTTTTTTAATTATAATTTACAAAGTTTCAAAAATGTTTTAAAAATTCTTCCAAACTTTGACCTTGTTAGGTTATTAAATTATCAAGTAAAGACTATATTTATTGGATGAAAATTGAAAAGCTTAATACAAATCACACCAAGGATTTTTAATTTAAAATTTTTTTTGTACATGTATAAAATTTTTTTTTTTATGTGTTGATTTTGAAAGTATGGGTGACCATACACAACATTATCAAAACATAAGATTGATAATAACAGTAAATT